TCCAGAAAACTGCAAAAATGCTGAAACACTGAGTTCCTTTAAACCAGGGCTCTGCGACCTTTAAGAGTCGTTCTTGGCCCCAGTGCAGCTAAATAAAACTCATTTAGAGCCACAAATGTTACATAATAAAAGCATTTTTTTCATTTTTGATCTGCTATGGAACATTTTTAAAGAACCACCATTTTAGTTCTATTTTTCAGCTTTATATACAGAAAACCTACATTTTAAAAAGAGATACCGATGCTAATACTGGCAAAAGAAAAAAGTCAATTGCTTTCAACCCAATGACAAAAAAATAGATATAAAATTGTTGATACCTTTAATGTCATTCTGTTGTGGAAATTCAATTAAATTATTCAAAGAAAAAACAGTAAAATTGCTCAACGCTGCATTTGTTTTTAAATCTATACTTAATATTATTACTTTTTTTAAATATATACTTTTCAGCCGTTGTGGAAGGTCCAAAGAGCCACAGGTTGCAGACCCCTGCTTTAAACCAAGGCTAAAAATCCCATTTATTTAGAGTTGCTTTCTATTAACAACTGGAACATCATAAACTGTGAACTGCTTTTCATCTCTTTCCTTTGCTTTGCCACTGCAATGTAAAGTTTTCCCATATTTCTTGTTTAATTTCCCCTTTAACCATGTAAAGAGCGATGAATTTCCCTGTCGCTGAAAATGTGCTCCTTAAAAATAAAATCTCCTTTTCTGCGGTGAATCCTCACAGAGCTGGAGTAGGAGGCTCACTTCAGTCAGAATCAGTGATGAGTTTACATCCTTCCTTCCTCTTTAAAGTCTCATTCTCTCAAATAAACTCGTTCTCCCTGAGTTTCCCTGAAGCGCTCTCTGGAAGTGAATCCAAACCGTGACTTGACGCACCAAGTGCTGCTGTGCAGCTGCGCCACCCCAGGCGTCAAGTGAACAGCAGAAATTCATTTTGCTGTGTTTAATTCTTAGCCCAGGATTTCTTCCTTGAAGGAAAACAGTAAATACTAAATGTGTGTGTATCTGTAAGAGTGAAAAAAGAAAAGAAAGGAAACAGAGCAGAAGAGGGGAAGGGAAAATAATGTGTTTGACTTTACCTCTGCTCTGAGAAGTCCTTTTCTATTTCCACCAGGTTTCTGCAATAATCACAATTGAAACAATTATTATGATGCACTGAATTGTCACTAAAAGTCATTAACAAGAAACAATTGAGCAACCTAGAACAGATTTTAAAATACAAATGTTTATTGCAGAGTGCTTTGGTTGCTTTTTATACTTAGTGTTAGAGTTTAAAGAAAAACAAAACAGTTTGATTTAGGCTACGACACATTGTAATTTCACACTAATGTATGTATTTATTCCCTTATTAACTAGGAAAAACAACTGTTTCACATTTTATGAAAAGTATCGCATAGAATCAAACATTAGGCCAGTTACAGAAGCCAAGTAAACTGATGTTTCAGTCAATTAAAATTTACTTTAATTGCCCCAAAGTTATAAGAGAGGTCAATTTTAAATCCTGATGAGGGAGAAAATGAAAAAGCTTTTTTTTGTTGTTGTTGTTTTTTTTTGTTTGTTTGTTTTACAGTTGTTCTGCGTTTCCTGGAGTAAAATCAATGCTATTTTGATTTTAACTGTCCATATGATAGTTTGATGTTCTGTTGAAAACCTTCAGTGAGTTATTCTCCAGGATTACATACGATTTCTAGAAGCAGCAGAAACAATTGAGTATCATAATAAATTAACTGTTGGTAAACATTAAGTTGAATATTTTGTGTTTTCTCTAAATCCTGAATAAAACTCTGATTAGTGCCTCCATTTATTTGGAGAACACGAGGTGACAAAACCAATTTAATACTTCCTGTAAATATTATCTTGCAAAATCCACTAGAAAAAAAAAACCACAAAATCTTACTGAATGGATTATGAATATTAAAATTTTTATCCACAATAAAGATGAAATAATTACTGTCGATAATAATTATCAACAATAATCATCTGTAACTAATGATCTATTAGTTACAGATGATTATTAGTCATCTGTAATTAATAATTACGGAAGACAAGTTGATCAGATATCAGCAAATTAATAATCTACTGCAAAGAAAGCTAGAATCTTACCAGTTTGCACAATAATCTGCTTAAAGATTTTTGGGGTTTTGGAGCTAGGGCGCCATCTAGAGAAAACAAACAGAAACGATCACACTTACAGCAAAGGTGATATTTTTTTTTGCTTTGAGAAGACATCCACCAAACGTCTTGTTTTTCCATAAACTTGTTTTCTACAAACAGACTGGATTGGTCTACGTATTCAAGTTTTAAGGCTTCAACTTATGCAGTGAAAGTTGACATTTTGTTAGTTTACTAGGCATGGAGATTACTTTTATTTATTGCAAAAATCTATCCATTTGAAAAGTTTGCCTAGTTAAAAAAACATTTTCAAATTCTAACATTTTAATTGCGAAGCAATTACCAAGGAACTCCCAAGATCTTAACATATTGAAAAAAAGTTTTAAAGTGTCTACAAATAAAATGATTACCAAAAGCCAATACATTCAACTAGGATTTATGTCTACTGTAAAGAAAAGCTAGAATCTTTCATTCTTCTTCCAAAATAGACTTAATATGTATTTATTTTTTGTGAAGTAAACTTGTACTTTAAACTATATTACCAAAAATAAAAAGAGCTGTTAAGCTCTAATAATTTAACAGGACCTATCAAATAATCTTTTGTCATAACGTTTCTGAAAAGAATAAATACTTACTGCTGCTTTGAAGATGTTTTGTATGTTTTGTAGAATACGGTGTTAACGCTTGCGACTCGGAAGTCCGCCATCTTTGTTCTGAACGGCATACAGACATTCGGCTATTTTTGTCCTGCGCAATAACCAACAGATGCAAAATCAACATTGCAGTTTCTTATATAATAGTTACGGGAAAGATACAGATACAGGGAAGTGTGTTATAGTCGAATCAAGCCGAAAAATCTCAAATATCACTCAAATCTTCCAAGCTTCCTTCTAGTCGAAGGACGCGTTGACGCATTTTCCTCGCGTCATCATCGAGGGAAACGTTGACGCTGATAATTTTATTAATTTATTTATTCGTAATTTATTTGCCTCGTTAATATAATAAGTATCTACGCTAGTCGTTGTCTTTCTTCGAGCAATAAAAGAGTTACAGATTTTAAAAAGACTCGACATAGTTCGTTTTCTGGAACGGAAGTGATAGTTGCTTAGCAACTAAATACGTCTTGTGCTGACGTTCACTAATGGTTGTCAAAATTCGTTTTCGCTTGAACTAAAGGTAAGTCGTGCTCGTGATATCGGCGATATTATCTCCCTTACAACGTTTACATTTCATTTCTAAATGATGAAGCATAAAATTTCTACCGACGTCATGTCTTTACCCATAAAAGTTGACCTATAGCTGCCGGATTTTAGCTCACGACGCAGTGACAGCTAGCGTTAGCTGACTTTAACCTAACCTAGCATAAACGATACACAGTGTTGTTGCTATAAAGTTTATAAACATGATCAAAGCTAGCTTGGCATCTCTTTGTTTTTCTATACCAGGTCATATTAATCCTTTCACAATGATGTTCTTCACGCAACTGTTTACGTCCAAAAGAGGTCCTTTAGCCAAAATTTGGCTGGCAGCGCACTGGGAGAAGAAGCTTACCAAGGCCCATGTGTTTGAATGCAACTTGGAAACATCCATCAGAGACATCCTTTCCCCTAAAGTACCACTTACTTCCTAAAAATACATATCTACACCTTTTAGAATGAAATGTATCCATTTGTTAAATCCAGTTAATTTGTAGTAACTTAAACAGCTGATTATAAAAATGTGAATCTGATTTTCTTCTAGATGAAAATTGGTTTGAGGACTTCTGGTCATCTTCTTCTTGGCGTGGTCAGAATCTACTCCAGGAAGACAAAGTATCTCCTTGCAGACTGCAGTGATGCCCTGGTCAAAATTAAAATGGCATTCAGGCCAGGTAACAATTACTTGTACTTTTTTGCATATTTTCTGTGTTTCATTTTTTTATTTGTAGTAATACATTTAAAAAGTTGATTATAATATTTTAGAAGTTCCAAGAAATTGTCAGAGTTTCTATGTAATCTGGAAAAGTAAAATTGTGTTTAATTTTTACAGGTCAGGTTAGTATGGAAGACACAAAATAATGTATAAAGATTTTGGGGAGATTTTCAGACTTATCTGTTTTTAACCCATTTTTTAAGCTAAGAATCTGAATTTCCACCATAACTTGGACAAAATTACTATGAAATCAACCTGTTCTTTTTCAAGTTTTTATTTTAAAACTCCACACACACAAAAGAACACCTCTAAAAACGTCATATAAAGGTATTAGAAACAAGGGTAAGCCTTGTAATGTTTAAACAAGGTTTATTATAAAACACTATTTTTCAAAGTAGTGTTTCTTACTGCTTTATATATTTATGTCTTATTTACCTACATGCAGCGTGTATTTTATTATGGTGTTTGGAGCTAAACCCTGACCACTGCTGTTGCATCATATCTGTTTTTATTTGCTAAAAATTGGTTATAGAATTTTTTGGTTATAGAAATACCAAGCAAAAATTTAGTTTTTATTTACAGAAAACGAGAAATGGTCAAAATAAGAAAAAAGATGCTGAGCTTTCAGATCTCAAATAAAGCAAAGAAATCAAGTTCATATTCATTTAGAAACAACAAAACTAATGTTTTAACTCAGGAAAAGTTCAGGAATCAAGATTTGGTGGAATAACCAGAAGGATTTCAATGGGGTTCGGTGCAGTGGGCTCTTCATTTTACATTCATTTGTAAACTCATAATATGTGCAGGCTATAATTTTAAAAAATAATAAATAAGTCCTATTTTTTATGATTGTTTTATTCTTGCTGAATTATAAACATTTAATTTTTTTATGTTTCAGTACTGTTTTTAATTGAAATAATTAAATAATGCATTAATCGATTAATTGATGCATTAATTGATTAATGCATCGATGTTGCATTAGATTAATGCAACGATTGATGTTGTTTTTTATGTCAATATTCCAGGTCAGACTGATATGCCTGTGGAAGGGCTTGAGGCGACAGTGAAGGCGATCACTCTGGTTGAAGACTTCACCGTCTTTGACACACCGCTGCCTCTGCCCAGGTGACAGCTCAGGCTCCACAAACACTCACCTCCAATATGTTCTCCAATTCTCCTGGAAACGTTTCTAATCCCCATGGAAACGATTTCAGATTGATTAATCAACAGTACCTGATTCTGATTTAAATGTTCTCCTTCATTTTTGATCGTCTAAGTGACATCGATGTGGACCATGTGTCCCTCAACCAGTGTCGCTCAGAGGATATCACTCTGAAAGAGGATTTCGGACATCAGTTTTTGAACTTTCAAGACATCGGTGAGAGAAAGATTGTTTTCATCCTCCTCCAGAGTTTGATGTTTATAGTAGTTTTATCATTTTTAGTTTCTGTTAATAAGGCAGGATCCATTTTTTTGACACCACATTTCCTAGGGCAAAGCTGCTTCTCATTTAGTCTTTGTCTCTTTTCGCTCTTTCTGACATGTAGGAGATGAGTTACAGAGCCAAGCAAACACACTGCTGGACCAAAGCTTTGATGACTTTTCAGCACATAGAGACGGATTTGGCGATGAGGAGAACGAATTTGACATACTTGGTAGGTCGAATTAATTAAGCTCCTTTTTGTTCTTAAATCTAATGAATTAAAAAGCTCAGCATTTTTTCCAACTCTTTCCCTTGTTTTGTTAAAGCTGCAGTGTGTAATGTTTATAATAAGTATTTTTTTAATATATTTGTTAAATTTGTCACCATGTCCTGACAGTTTGTAATTAACCAGATAATCTGTGAAAACATTGATCTCCTCCACCGTCTCTTTGAGCTACTATTGAGAAACACACTGTCCAAGAACAACCAATCAGAGGGTGTTATTGCTGTCAATCATCCTCATGTGCTCACTGCTAAATGTGCTAATGCTGCAGAAACAACTTGTGATTACAGGAAAACTGTTTATCCGCCATTTTCGGTGGGCTTGGTCTCTTAATTTTTTACAGAGCTATGTGTGACAGCTTAAACAAATATGTAAATAATGTTTTTTTTTTTTTTTTTTAAGTTACTGCAGCTTTAATGTTTATTTCCATTAAAGGTAACAGTTTGTCATAGATTAAAGGGATCTGCTGCTTCTTGGTTTCCCTTCAGACTTCCTGACAAACCCCATCGATCAGATTGAAACCCAGAGTTTCATCCAGGAAGAGCTGCAAAGTGAAAATAAAGAAGCTTCTCCAGTTCAGGATGATGAACCTCACATGGGTGACGATGTTTTACAAAACAGCACTTTTATGTCTGGAACAAACTCTGTGGGTTTTCATGTGTGTGATGGTCGTGTTTCTCCTGGTGTTTTCCAGACGTCGACCTCGGCTTTCCTGAGGAGACGGTAACTGAAATCACTCTGCTGATCAACGATGAGGACGCTTTCGCTTTAGAACCCGTTCCCATCACGCGTAAGCAAACGCCTCAAACTGGGATCCTCCATTTCCCAGTGATCATTAAGGAGTCAGCTGAGATGTTGCGATGGCTGGGTCTGTCGCAATAAATCAATTATAAAACTAGCTCTGTAATTGCTATTTGTTTTATCATTTTTCTCTTTTCTTTCTAACTAAAACTGGATGATAAAACTCTTCAGTCTGATACTTTGGTCTCAACATTCCCTTTTTTTTAAATTACAATTTAGTTTACAGAGATTTCATAATTCATTTGGTTTTTCCTGTTGTTTTTATTTTGGATATTTAAAACATCTCCCAGTTCCAGTGTTAAATATTCATCAGAATCTAAAGTTTAGTGATTTTTCAGAATGTGTTGTTGCCATTATCATTTTATCACTTAAAAATGTCCCAAAGTAACAATATTATCGTTTATCGCAATAACTTCTGGGATGATTTATCGCCCAGCAATATTTGTTATTGTGACAGACGTGGCGATCGCAACTATTATTACAAATTCAGTCACTTTTCACGGACTTATAATTTTCACCAGTCATCGCAACTTTTGCTCACTAATAACTTAACCATTTTCTTTAATTTCTGACCAATCACTGCAACTCGGCTGAACTTTGACCAATCTGCTTTTCCTTTTTCTAATCTAACTTCCTGTTTCATGACGTCTCTTGAAAACCAAACCTGCAGGATTATGCTAAACTGTAAAAATTGTTTTTTTGTTGTTTTTTTTTGTGTGCAAAAAAACACTTCAATATGCTCTGTAGCAGTGTTTTTAAAGGGACGGCCACCAGGAGGCGCTACAGGGCCTCTGAAAACTTGAGGGAAGACGTGGAAAAAAATGGCAAAAATAAAGATTTTTGCTCAATTTCTTTATATAATTTCTTTATATCAAAGTATATTTTTTTTATTTAAAATATCTAATCTATATTTAAATTATAAAATAAATGTTCATCTTGGCCATCTAAAATCAGAAGGAATGAGGCAGCATTTCTGCTAAACAAATATAATAATTATTGAGAATTAAGGAGAAAAAACTTACTAAACTTTGATATTTCTTTACATATTTTGAAGCCCGGTTCTATTGGACTGACTTCTACTGTTTATCCAGTTAATGTTAATTTTAATAACCAATATCAAATTCTTCTTTTGGCAGTTCCTCAGGATGTGACTTTATTGTATTGACGCTGATATTTCAAGAAGCTACTTGGTAATGTTATGTGCACTTTAAATATTAATTATGTTAAATCCTTTTTTGGATACTTAAGTGCAGCAATTTGAACTGTTTTGTAAAAATAAAGCTTAAAAAAACTCAACTTTTTGAGAG